AGGCCGCATGCAAAGCACACGGGACTCGGGACCAAATTCGGGTTCCATGGCGGTGTTTTTTTCGCGCATCGAGTTGAATTTGGATTGCTGTCCTTTGGCACCAGGTGGCCACAGACAAGGACTACCTCGCCACCAGCATCGCTTACCGCTTCGACTTCCATGGACCTGCCGAGGCGACGAGTCACTCCTTGGATGGATCCATGGGATCAAGACGTAGCCTCTCTCCCATGTTGCCATGGCACCTGAAAGGGGGTCCCTCCAAGAAGAGCTTGATCTTCCAGGTACCCGCCCACAGGTGCCATGATAATTGGATCAAGACGTAAGGCTTTGAGGATTGATTGCCAAAGTCGAAGGATTGATTTCCCATTGTCTTCACCCATAGTCTCTTCAGAAGCAGCCAACTTTCCAGGGGTTTGGCCCATTTTTTGAAGACAAGGATGCCTGAAGATAATGGGGAAGGGGCGGCTAGAGTAAGGCGCTGGATCGGCGTACTCCCACAAAGATGACGTAAATTGATTGACTTGCCCCACAAACCCCGTAACAATTGTTTGCGCGAATCAAATTACCACAGGCCATCCTTGTAGTCAACACTTTGGAACGCCAAGCTTGCCATAGGTGCCACTGTACAACTAGCTAGTCCTCCGTTTGTAACATGGGTGACATGACCTCCACACCAAGTTAGCGCCTGGACAAAGGGGGTTCCCCACCGAACTCCATTGCAACTGGGGGCGCAATGCGGCTCACGTTGCCGTGTCCTTCGTTTGTGCGTGAAGACATAAGATCAGGCAAAGCCTTCAGCCAGCCTGTTTGGATGAAAGTCTCAACAATTGTAAAGGCGACTCAGGACAGGTTCTCAAAGCATGACCTTGATTTGTGGACTGCGCTGAGTGAGATCTCCCTTGTCATCCTTGCATTGAGTCAACGGAATAAAGCAGTTTTTACCCGAACAAGCTACCCGGACCGCTGTACAAGGATACTGAACGAAGCCATCACTTGGAGCCCGACCCATGGATTTAGCTGGAAGTCCTCATGTCATAATTAGGTAGGCAAACTTTTGTGGCTCTTTCACTTGACGGTTTGAACTTTGGAACCTGCGATATTGGCGCAACATCCCCACTCGCCTGCGAGTGGATCATTTTGTAAAGCAAAGGAGTCTGTTTCGACCACCCTACAAAGCAACAAGAGCCTGATCCGCATAGGTGTCCTGTTTGGTTGGCTTGTTGAGAAATAGAGGGCGCTGGTTCACCTGGTGGTTCAATCATCTACCAGGGCCATCCACTTTCCAACAGGGAAGCCGTGCTTATGCGGCTATAGTGTTTAATGAAGTGGTGGACGTGAATCCCCATGTTCACGCGGTCCACCTACAGGGCTGACAATGAAAATTCGTGCTGATTGGCAAACTCCTGAGCCAGCTGGGATGAATGAAGCTGCCCCAAATGGTGCTTGCCATGGATGTTTGTCCATCCCATGTGAGCGCCCAACGTTTTCCCTCCCACAAAAGCGGTTTGAGGTTCTAGAAAACGGTTTGGATGCGCTTTTTGTGGATTTCACCTGCTCCTCCCCCTGTTGGTTATTTTTAATATACGACCGGGGTGGGTCCACAGAAGTCACCTCCAACCGTTTTTCCAGAGAGGTGCTTTGTTACCTGTGGATCATTGGGGGTTTACGAAGCACTTTGGGCCGTACTTGGAACATCCACGGAGTTGGCTGGGGTGTGGGATAATATGGCGACTCTGGTCATTGTATGGGTGTGGTTAGTTTACCCGTAAAGTGCAAGCTTTCCCTTTACTTCCATTGGCTGAAATGAAGATGTGTAGTTGTCCCTTTTTGAAAGTCGATTCTTTTTTCGCGCGGTGCGGGGCGCAGGTGGTTCAGACTGCCTGCAGCTCCGCATTGGTGGCCATGAGTCGCGCAGCCCGGGAGCCCAGCTGATGCGGACGAGCAAGAGAGACCATCGGGAGAATCGTTTGTTTGTTTTTGTTTTTTTGATCCGGGGAGTTGTTGGTCTTGTTTTAATGAATGCTGTTGGTATCTTTTGGTGCTGTTCAGTTTTAGATCCGAAGGCTGCAACAACAAGTCAGTCTTTTGTAACCGTACCAAGGGTTGGAAAGAACCATCAATGTGTCTCAAGGATAAAGATAAATCCCCATGTACCAGGATCCCCAGTTGCAGTTCTCATGAAGGAAGTCACCTGTTTGAACTCGATTTGATACCACTTTCTCCCGTGACTTAATGGAAGGGACCCTTTTGGAGGTTCTGAACGAGATTCCTCGAAGAGTGTTGGGTTACATCTTCATTTTTGAAGAGCATTTCTTGCGTCTGGCTCCAGATGGAATCCCAATTGGGAAAGGCCCTCTTTTTGGATGGTGCAGGGACAATCGAGCCGAATCAATTTCAGGTCGAATTTCTATTTTCGGAACCATCTTTGACTACAAGCCCTCATGCTTGTACGCAGCTAACGACAGGGTAGAAATATGAATTTGGGAAGTCCAGCAGGGGCAAGTCTTTGGGCAGGTGCCACGTTGAACTGTTTGAAGGTGTTTCTTCCAGGTTGGCTCAAGCAACTCTTTCTTTGACCAGACACCATGATGCACTGCAGTGTGGATACCGAGCGTCAACATAGACCTTTTGCAACCATGGCGCACGTGACCTCGGTCCCCTAGAATAGAATGGCGAATTTGGCGTGCTTTGACATTTCGGATATTGTTTTTGATCCAGGTTTAGAAATGTTCATTTTTGCCGTGGTTCCGGGTTCATCGGGCGAGTGTGTCTCATATTGTCCAACATGAGCAGATCGATTTTTCGTGTTGAGTTCCGGTACTGCCGGTTGAGTCCAGGGCCATTTGTTTTCGCTCTCGGAGAAGCCCTTTCGCACTCTAGAAGCCCTTCAAGTTAGCCCTTCTAAGGAATGGTAGAGCCCACTCTAAATCCAACACGTTCAGCAAAATGGAGGCCGGTCAAGCCAGGCGTTTCATGGCCGCCGCCGAATTCGAGCGATTTGACGACTCAAGGTCCACCTGCTGCAAATGGGCGGCTGCGAGTCTTGGGTCGAATTGGCGCGACCTGTGAGACTAGATTTGGCTGCTCAAAACTAAACAGGAGGGGCAAAACGCTGGTGTTGGTCCATGTTTCCACTTTCCAGGGTAAGCCATTTTGGTACCGGGTTTTTGAGCCACGGCCATTTTTCTGCAAACTCCGGATAGGTGTGCTTTGTTCGTGAAACTTGCTGAACCATGATTCCAGTGGTTTCGCTGAGACCCGTCAGTTGTTTTTGTTTCGGAAAGCACAATTGCTTTGCCCCATAATGAAAGTCCTCAAGAGGCTGTCTTGTGGCTGGTGAATTTGGGCGGAGACTTGCTTTCACTGTCTGTTGATTACATTCATGCTTGGAGCGATCCAAGCCTGTGATCCACTTTGAGCACAATATTGTGTACCGCGAGCATTTTTCTTGAGCGTCCTTTGCAACTGGAGCCCTAAGCAGGTTTAAACGAACTTGTTCCAGCGTACTGTATAATACCAGTAATGTGACGGAAGTTTCAATGATATAGAAACTATAGTGTGGATCGGTCTTATTTTCCTTTTGTCTATTTATCGTTATTTTTGTTTTAATTACGTCTTTCTCTTCTGCTCTGTTTCTCTTCCTTGTTTTCCTTCTCGTATTTATGCTCCTGCTCTTTATCTCTTTCTCTTTCTCTTTCTCTTTTCACCTTCTCTGCGATATTTTTCCTTATCTCTCCTTATGTTTGTCCTCTTCCTAGGTCTCTTGTTCTTTCTCTTTGCCTTATTCTTTCTCTTCTACTTGTCATGCCAATTGTGCGTCTTCGCCTTTCTTCCTCTCTTTATATTTTTATCTTTCTCTATGTCTCTTCCTCTTTATCGTCCTATTTATCTTTCTCTTCCTCTCTTTCTTCTTATCCTTCTCTGTCTCTGGCTCTCTCTTGTGTTAGTTGTTCTCTTTAGCTGTCTCTTGTTCCTTGTTGTTTTTGGTTCTTCCCGTTCTCTCGTTTTCTCTTCAGGCAGGCAGGCAGGCAGACAGAGAGACAGAGAGACAGAGAGACGGACAGAGACACACAAGCAAACAAACAAACAAACAAACAAACCAAAAACAAAGAAATAACCAACCAAAAAACAAACAAAAAAAACAAGCAACTTTTCAAACAAACAAACAAACAAACAAACAAACAAACAAGCAAGCAAGCAAGCAAGCAAGCAAACAAACAAACAAACACACAAACACACAAACAAACAAACAAACAAACAAACAAACAAACAAACAAACAAACAAACAAACAAACAGCAAGCAAGCAAGCGAGCGAGCAAGCAAGCAAACAACCAAACAAACACACAAACACACACACACAATCTAGCAAACAAGCAAACAAGCAAGCAATCACACAAGACCGCAAACACATGCACAAAAACACACACCCACACACACACACACGGAGAAACAGCTAACCAACCACACATTCACGCCAGCCAACCAGCAAGCAAGCAAGCCAACCAGCCAGCCAGCAAGCAAGCAAACAAGCAAGGCAACAAGCAAGGAAACAAGCAAGCAAGCAAGCAAGCAACCAACCAGCCAAATCAAGCAATGTTAAGCCAGCAAGCGAAAACGCAAAACACCACAAGCAAGCAAACACTTAACCTGCAAGCAACGAAGACTACACAAATCAAAGCACGGCCGAGCGAATCGAGGGATATGCGGTGTGCGGCGGGGCCTCCTTCTCGCCGGACGCTCCCATCGCCGTGGTGAACGGCATGATTTGGAGCCCCGATGGTGCTGCTCGGCCCACTGGGGGTCACCCGTTTGGGGGAAGAAAGCTAGGATCCCCTGCACTTTGGTGCATTTTGCTGGGATGTTAGGACTTTATATATTTGTTTGCCAACTAGTAGGTTTTCCACTAAACCACTCAAAGTGAAACTTTTAGCAGGGGAGCAGAAAGCAACCGAGTGCTGCATTCTTGTGGGTGGCAAGTAAGCTGTAGGTTGTGACCCGCAAACGCCCCGAAGGGCGGCCGGGCAAAGTCTGTTTGGCAGATTGCCAGCCAATTCATTCCGCTCTGATCAGCATGGTCGTCCGGGATCCAAAGACACTGGTAGAAAATCAGATTTACAGTATCTCCAAATACGATATCTCCAAACACAATATCAAAACGAGGACCCAAGCATAAAGACGGAGACTCAGAGGAAACAAGCCAGGCGTGACACAAACAAAGAAGTGCAGGGACTGAAGGCGAGCTCACCCGTAGGAATGTGTCAATTTCCCCGATCTTTCCCAGTCCCTACTTTGGTTGTTTGCTCCTTCGAGGCTACCCGGAGTTTGGCTACGGGTTGAAGGGTTCTTTTGAACCCCAATCATCAACACCCCCAAGTTGTCATTTGTGCTCACCCTTTCTCCGCTTGGGATCTTTCAACAGAACCGATGCAATTAATTCGCGAATTCTGGGGTTTAGACTCAGCAAGTCATGCGCTAACTAAGTTGCCAAGCTGTCCACCAATCAGGCAAGTTAGAATTAGTATTCTAGAAAACGGTTTGGATGCGCTTTTTGTGGATTTCACATGTTTACTTGTTGGTTCTTTGTTAGTACTCGTTTAATATCCTACAGGGGTGGATCCACAAAAACCGCATCCAAACCGTTCCTAGAAGTAGAGTTCGAATTGGTGAGACGTTGTAGTTGTACTTGCAAGCCAAAGCTGTGTGTCATGGATGTTCCGAGAAGGATCATGTTGGCTTAGGGAGAACCCTTTGACTGGATGTGTTTGTGCAGGATAGCTCTCCCAAGCGGACAGTCGCGGCTTAGAAGTGTCACCGTTTGTTTCAAGTTAGCATCTGTCGAGCCTCGCGTGTCTGCAAAACATTGTAGGCTGGCAAACCGTCTCGCAAGGGGCTGCAGAGGACGTGCAAAGCCTCGCAGAGGAACGTAAGGGACCCGCTTCAACCAGCAGGGATATCCACGTTCGACTTTTGGTTTTGTTGGGAAATCTTCTGGGGCTGGCGTTAACATTCGGGCCCTTTTTGGGATACTCGAAGTGGGGCTTCTGCTTTTGCGGCACCAATACATGTCCAAAAAGGAGCCACAGTTTTGAGGACCTCACAAGTCTAAGTGCTCTGTCTCGAGCCAAGGTCACGAGGCCGTACTCAGAGGCTCGAGATCGGGTTGCCGGTACGACTTGCCCGAAAAAAGAAGAAGCGAAGGAACCCCTTAAGTCGGGGTGGAGCATTTTCTTCCCAAAAGTCCTGGTTGATTTGCTGGTGCCAGAGATGCAATGAGGGAATTGGATATAAACCATCCTGGTGGTCTCCTTGTCCCAAACAGGAGACCTGCGGGCTTTGCACATTTAGCTTCGGTGAGGCAAATGGGTAGTCAAAGCTTAAGCCACCAGGGACCGCAGGTTTTAGTCCATGTTCCATTTATCAGGCTTCCATTTGAGGTACCGATTTTTGACCACCCAAATGAAGTTACCATGCCCTCCGTCGGAGTGGGTTAAACAAGGTAGCCCGCTGTCTCGCCGCCCTTGCGAATATGCAATTGACATGTTGAACATTCCCTGCGTTTTACAGTGTTGTCTGATTTCCGTTGAGGCTGTTAGATTTTTGCGTATACGAACAAGCGACAAGCGCTGCTGATGTACAAGTACCGTACCTCCATGCCAGAGCAAGCCATCAATGCAACATGATCCAAGGAAATCTGTCTGGCACTCCGCCAACATGAGACAAGTCGGGCGTGAGAAGTCCGCTGTGAGCTCATGTATGTAGAACGTTTACATATGTGCCAGCGTGTGCGCATGTAACCATGCAGCGAGTAGACGGGCACGTTAACATATGTGCCAGCTTGTACGCAAGTAATTATGCAGCGCATGGACGGGCACGTTAACAAATATGTGCCAGCATGTGTACAACAAAGGCTGGACGCCTACAAATTGTAGAATATGCCACAAATAACAGCGCACGAATTACGCAGACAAACGGACCGAAACCTGCGTTTCGGGCTCATGAATGGAAAAAAAAGACGGGAGTGTTGCACGCAAAAGCATGGAATTAACGCTGGCGTGGAAGGAAAATGTTTACAAGTATCAAAAATAGTAGGTTTGGGCGGCGGGTCAGCCGGCTGGCTTTTAAAAACAACCCGACTCGGGGATGGTTGACTAATTCCTTAATTTGAAGGTCCATTTTGGGGTGGAAAAAAACATCACCCTTTGGGATGTATTTCGAGCCACCTCCAGGTGGGCGATGCACAAAATGGGGATGGACAAATGCGGGAGCCTGGTGAGAGGCAGTCCTTCCCACTATTGCCCAATGAGAACAAGCTGATTCCGGAAATATTGCATTGATGCACTGACCATTGGCTGACGATACATAGCCATTTTTGATGAGGGATCACCGATAAAGTTATTGGTGCACAGGAATTTCCCCCCATGGCATGGACAGCTTTTAGCTGAAGCGTTCTTCGTGTGCTTCCGTTTCAGATCAATTGCACTGCTACCACGGTGGTTTTCGCATTTGCATGGCTGTGCTTCCTAAGTACTTTGTTTTCAGGAGGGTTGGTGGCCCTCAACAGCAATTACAATCACTCAATGGTGTTCCTCCGTTGCCACCAAAACGGACAACTTTGCGATACCCTTTTGGGGTTGGTTTGCAGAAAACGAAGAGGGAACCGACCTTTTTTTTGGGGGGGGGTCAGCTAAAAAGGCACACCCAAAATAAGGGGCAGCCGATTTTTTTAGCGGAAGGGGCGGCTGGCTGCACTGTCAGGATGCCAACGGCACCACCAATTCCGATGGAGCAGGGGTCGTGGCCAAGCTGCACAGCTCGGCTTTTGCCCAAGGGTGCTAGATGGCCTATATGTTTTGTTTTGGTTTTTGTTTTTTTTTTTTGGTTTCTCAAAACAAAGAAAATAAGAAAAGGAAGAAGTAAAGAAAGCAAAGAAACCCTCAGTTCCGGACGTCTTGACCTGTTGGTCTTCGAGCCCATAAGGTTAAGCTTTTGTTTCCAGGTCCTTGGGGTATGTGAGACTCAGGAAGCCAAAAAGGGGATGGGTCAGTTGAACTCTTCCAGACTCCCCGCAAAAAACCACCCGGTCAATTGGAAAGTCAACATCAAGCGCAGTACCAAAGGCGGCTTGCCGCGTGCCTTGAAGGGCGCGATGTGTTTTTTTTGTTCAGGGGCTCTGAGCCACAAGGGCACCAGATCCAACCTCACCAGCCGAGCTCTGATGTCTGCGAGCGCATTTGCTCCGGATTTTCCCTGGTGCGAAGCATCAGATCTCGCATGAATCTTTTTGTACCCCTTGTGGCCTGCCCTTTCAATCTGTAAATTTAAATGCCCCCAGAAGGCTATACGACTGTTCAGACCAAATCCTCGCCCGAATTGGGCAATGAATTTGGTATGCATGGTTGATTGGGTCAGCGTAGCTCGATTCTCCCGTCAACCTGGCTAAAGCCGGCCAGGACGCGTTACGCACATCACCCCTTTTGGGGGACCCCCAAACACATTGTCTTGGGTGCGTCTAAGTTTTGTAAGGGACGGTCATTTTCCTTTTGGTTTCCCTATACAACAACAAGAACAAGGTACCCTCACAAAAGACGCACCCGACAAATTGGGGTGGTAGGCTCATGATAAGTTTTGATATGGGGGTGTGTGTTTGATGTCTTTTTCGTACTAGGGCTTGTTTTTTTCTTGGGTCTGGTTCACTGGCCGGCTGGCCGGCTGGCTGGCTGGCTGCCTGCCTGCCTGCTTGCTTGATTGCTTGCTTGCTTGCTTGGTCGCATCCCCGGCATCGCCAGCCGCACTGGCTTTGATTCAGTGGCAGTTGGGAGCTGCTGGGGTCTGGTTTTGGCTGATTTGTTTTTTTTGACGAGGGTGGGTCTTTGGTTGGTTTGAGGTTTATTTAGACTTAGCAAAGGGCTGACATCCAGGCTGCTGTGGGGCGGGTTTGAGGTTGACTTTCGGAGGGTTAGCTTAGAGCTGATGCGTTTGGTGTAGCCTTGCTTTATACGTGAGTTTTGGGCCAGTCTTTCTGGCCACATCCCTGAAGCAAACCCAATGTCAGCCCTTTGAGCCTAAGTGAACCTCAACCCAGGACCCAGGACCCATCCTTCAGGCCCAAGCCAGCCAAACCCCCCTGAGCCAATAGGCAACCCTATGGCCCTTAGGTCCAAGTGAGGCTGGTGCTGTGGATGTGGCGATTTTGCCAAACCCAGAAGACTGATGCCTCTTGCCAACCCGCAACCCGTAAGGCCCGGGTCCAGGTGGGGATGTCGCCAGGCCGAACAAAAATGCAGCGCTAAAAACCAAAACACAAAACACACCTCCACCGTTTGTTTTTCAGGGTGCCCTTTCTAAGCCCAATTTTTGCGTCGTCCCTAGTTTTAAGAGAAACCTGGCGCGGAAAAGCCGATCTAGCGAAACGCTGAACCGGTGGCTCTGCTTTTCCAGTGTATACATATATATATATATATATATAGGGAAAAGGCTTCTCATTTTTGGGGATCCCCCAAAAAAGGGAAGTGCTCCTTTTGGCTTCCCTTTAAAGCCACAAACAATGGGTACCCTCAAAAAAATATCCCCATTGCGAACCTCGGGTCTTGGGGCAAGCCGCGGCTCATGCAATTTTGTTGCGAGGTCTCAGTCCTCGTCAGCGAGCGTGGAATATCTGAGCCCTGAAAGTCACATTCCCAAGAGGAAGCGAAAGGTTGGGGGGGGCATTGTTGAAGATTTTCAGGAAATTTGGGAACCTTGGATTTTCAGGTTGGGGGGGAAACTTGGAAATTGGGGAACCTTACCCGTGCGGGAAACCTTGGGCCCGCGAGCAAGGAAAAGCGCAGGCGAAAACTGTGCAAACCCCGCAAGACACTTGCGAAGAAACTTGGGAACGCAAGGAGAACTATGTTTGCATATGTTCATGTTTTTTCCAGAAGCAGCCCGCTGAATCCGAACTCCTCGTTCTGAGGTGCTTCTGGCCCGTGCAACCAATGCCGCGCAGCATGCCAGCCATGGGAAGATCTTAGGCGCCTGGAGGGCCCTTGGGGGGATCTACCTTGACCCACGTGACACCTGGGTTTCTTTCACAAATTCGCCCCTCCTTGATATACCGGACTTGTTGGTGGCTTTTGTGCTGCCGGCTTTGGGATTCCGATCCTCCCCATTCTGCCACCCTCAAGCCGAAAACAAGAGCTCCAATCCCAGAGCCGGATTTGGGTGCTCCCCGAACCTTGCGTGGACATGGGGATGTGTTGCTTGCAAGCCACTGCTTTGAAACCCGAATTAGACAACTCCTGGACAAGTCACGCAGTAGATGATGCAACACGGATTTGTCTGGACATATGGTTGCTGCAACCACTGCACCGCAGTGTGAACCCCAAGTCTTTAGGAAACTCAACGTGAATTCAAGGGCGCAGCGTCAACGTTTGCAACAGCAGCTTGAAATCTATGCGAGATGCATCAAACCCTTTCAATCCAATAATCAGATCAGCCAACTCCTAAGCAACACACAACTGCTCTAAACCCGTTAGTCCCCAGCACGTATTCCGAATAACATGCTAAGACTTGGGCTCTCCATGGGTAATTGCAGATGCATCGGCTGGGGGGGGGGGGGAATCGCTTTGTGGTTGGGTTGTTTTTGGGTTTTCCCAACGCAGGACAAACACAAGCCATGCACGGAAAAACGTCGGGCCCCAAGACCTCACTATCTGGGAGTTTGGTTCCTCAAATGGGTGGACCAGCCCAGCTTTTTTCAGCAGGTCCCTCTCGGGCTTTTGCGGCTAGCCCAATTTGTCATGGTATTCAAGAGAAAGCAAAAGGAAAACCAAAATCCACTTTAGAGGTCCCCCCCCAAAAAAGGGCACACTTAAATCCCAAAAGGAAACGCAAAGGAAATTGGTCTTTCAGACCCCCTGCTTAACACCCAGCTGAAAGGACAACGAACGAAGGCACCAGCATGAAATGGTTCGCATTTCAGCTGAGCAGAGCGAGGCTCTCGGAAAAGCTTGGAACCCCTGTGTGGATGGGCAGTTCGCATGGAACTCAGCTTCAATACTCGCTTCCTGAGTTCCTGGGCTTCATGGTTTTTTGAGAAGACCATTTTAGTGGCACTCAAAACCTTTGGATTTGTTTTGCCCATCCAGGAAGTGAGAATAACTTGACATGAAAGCTGGCGGGGCAAGACAACGCGATGATCACTAAGAGGTTGAGCAAAACTGGTGAAGTACGGTTCGGCGCGTGATGTTCTTCAAAGAGGAACATGAGCAGAGGGTCTTGACCCAATGGTTGCGTACTTTCCCGAGAAAATAAGCGCATCAATACGAAATTCGCCCTTTGGCGAGTCACAGAAAGATTTCCTCTTCCTTTGGGTAGGTGGTTGATTTGGCCTTTGTGGCAAGGCCTGGTTCCCGGTAGGGAATCAAGAGGGGATCTGGGAATGAAGCCTCCCTCCTGCGCATATGGCCATGGGGCAGAACCCATGGCTCCATTTTGGGGCGGATCAACATCCCATTTGCCACCTACGATGTTCACCAGGGGTTTCCTGGGTTTTGACCCACAGCCATAGTCCCTTGTGATTAATACATCCCTGTCCATATTCCCTGAGCAAGTTGTTTGCCTTTAGGGGAACCCAGCAGTCTGCAGGAGGAATCCTCGGAATCCGAGCCTCACGCTCTGCTCCGAGCCTCAGGCTCTGCCACCAACAACGATGGGCGGCGCAAGGCCAACTTCTCCGCGCGCCGCGGATGGAAGCCCAAAGCTCCGTGTTTTGTTTTTCTCCATCGGTCGGTTCCTTGCGAGTGAAGTTGGAGAGTTCTTGTTAGTTGACTTGGGCAAGAAATAGTAAGAACCCACTTTTTTGAGTCCCCTTAGTGTGGTTAAGCCTCTTTGTGGATTGTAGCCCAATTGGCCGAACTTCCAAGCACCTGGTTTGCGGCGTGGCGCCCTTGCTTGGCATGCCCCCCCCAAAAAAAGAAGGAGAAGCGCAAAAAGACAAAGCTGGGCCCCGCAAAACAAGGTCTTTGATGTTGCCTGCGAACATGACAGCTCATGTGTATGTGGAAATCATTTCTCTGTGTCAGAGTCACCCCAGAAAAGCAACCACTCAAGGAAAAGACAGCCATTGTTTAACAAAAAGGCCGTGTTGACATACCCAGTGCAATCGCTGAACTCTATGGCCGCATTCCAGCAAGCTTGACACTCGATGCTTCAAGTCGGTGCTGGTTGCGGATTTGGGTCCTGGATTCATCATCCTATTGCTGATTGCCAAGTAGCACACTATGTTCAGCTTTGCTTGGGCTGGATTTCCTGTTTGAAAAAAGAGCCAACCGACAATCCCCAAACATTGTTTTACATCATACTGGGTCTCTCACGATAATAGAACAACAGGACCTGGGATTGGTCAATGCACATTGATTTTGGCTTTTCATTGCCAACCAGCCAGCCAGCCAACCAATCAACCAATGAGTCAAACAAGCAAGCAAGCAAGCAAGCAAGCAAGCAATCCATGCAGGAAGCA